CATCACAAATTGTATTTATTTTGTCATTTATGTCTGCGTCTATTAGTTTATTTATACTTTTTCCAATGAATCGAATCTGGGGATCAGAAACGATGTGGAGTAAGACCTCGGGCTTCTGATGTGTGAGTATGTGGAGATCTGGGCGGCTGCGGTGCATAGACGATCTTTGTGGTGACGTGTCACAGTGCAGGGAAGTTTGTGTACATGTGTGTGTTGTGTACTTTCAGCGGGACGGACACGCAGGGGATCGGACCATGATCATGACCCTGCACGGGTCAACATGTCGTGGAGACGTCACATCAGCGGCTGCGTCTTCAGCCTCGTCTTCGTTGTGTCTTATTTCACCAACAAGGTGAGAGTCGAGTTCGAACCCCACGCAACATCCCGTCATCACCGCTGTCCCACTTCTTCAACTCTTCACCGCTGCACAAAGTCTCTTCTCGTGGAAAAAGTCTGCAACCAATCATCAATAATCAATGATCAGTGATCATCGTCTCCTCAGATCGATTCACGCTGAGAATGTGGCTCATCAGAGCAGCACAGCAACACAAACAGGAAGTGACAAGCAAAAAGTTCAAACAAGAGTTGCTGTTGGTTGATTATTAATAATCAATAATATCTTTGTGGCAAAATCAGTCGATGCTCCAATAATTACCAAGATAAATGTTATTGTTAGCTCAGCCAGTGAGGTGTTGTCTCTTTCTTTGTTTGTTAGCAGCTCTGCATGACAACAAGGACTGTTTGGCCTTGGTGGCTGTTTGCTCTCTACTGAGATCTATTCTCGTTTATTTGCAGTTTAAACACTGTTGCTCCTGAGTGAAGGTTGTGGTTTTAAACTCTTCTTTACAAGCAGAGAATGACAAACACTTGTGTTACACCTCCTCACTGTTCTTATACAATACACAGGCAGTATATCAATATATATTAAACTTCTGTTATATTGATTTTAGTGCTGATATATATCACGATGATTATTGTTGATTTAATAAGTGATGAAGTGTCACGTCAGCTTTCCTCAGGGTTAGGTTGTGATAACTTGTAAAGATAAAACAATGACTTGAATCTAATTGTTTTTTCCCCTGTTTTCAGTTTGTCCTGTCTGTGTTAAAATTCACATATCCAACGTTATTTCAAGGGTGAGTAGCTCAATCCTGTCACAGTCATTATGGGCTGAAGTGTTAATACACCTGCTGCCGCTGTCATTAAAGGTCAAATGTTTGTGAGAGAAATATCTGTCCAGTTCATTGGCTGCAGTTTGGATATTTTTTATAGCATCAAATAACTAATTAAAACCAAACGTATTGGGAAAATGAACACATGAATAAAAACTTAAATGACAGAAACCATCTTTGAGACTTTTTTTAGTTTGGTTCTTTAAAATAACACGGCAGAGGCAGGACTTATGAACAATACTGCAGCCAGCCACTAGGTGGAGATAGAGACGCTTTGGGGGAACTGTCATGTTGTCCATCTTTATGCACATTCTGTGGACAGTATTGATTATGTTCACTTACCAGACAACGATCATGTCCTCAGATGGCAGACGTTCATCGGGTTTCTTCTTCTTCTGCTCTTCGGGAAGCTGGGATGGGTGGAGATGAGCCGCATCACCAGGTACTGCCTGTGGACTCATGAAGGATTCGTTATGAGGTGCACGCAGACGCTTTCCTTGGTGTGATGTGTTTTAACGTTGTGTTACAGATCAGCAGCTCTGCCCTGGCTCCCAGCCTCCCTCCTGTTTGTAGGAAACATATATGCTGGATCTAGAGCCTTAGCACACATTGTACGTCCAAAAACCTCCCCCAGTTAAAATCATGGTATTCTTAAAGGATATGAAAGACTGTGGCCTTGCTCAGGATTGGACGAATCAGGTGACTGCTGCAGTGTTATAAGTGAAGAACGTGTTTTCTCTCCCCCGTGCAGGAAATCCCTTTTTTCTTCACACTCCAGAATTCCTCTCACGTTGTTAGCTACACAATTCTGAAGGTTGCTCATAGAGAGGTAAGAGCCTGCACTTTACATGTGAACCGGAGACTGTACATAAAGATGAACGACGAGAAAGCTCCCCAAAAGTGAAGCTTAGTATCTGGATAGTGAGAGGAAGCGGAGACGCGTCGTCCATCTTTATGTACAGTCTATGATATAAACACGTAGAGCTACACTCAGTAAGCGAGCAGTGCTGTGACACAACACTCATCATCATCATCTCTCTTCTCGCTTACAGAAGATGCGCTGGATGACATTCATCAGGTTTGTGCTTCTTTTTTTTTTTCATCACATGACAGAAGTGTACAAATACTGTCCATTTCAGTCCTCACATAGAAAAAGTTACAAAAAAGCAACAGTGATTACTACAGATACACCATAGATTAGATATTAAAAAAGAAAAAGTAAGTTAATAAAAAGTTCCCTCAAGATTAAAATGTTTTTCTTCTCACAGCATCTGTCTCATGCTGCTTTCAGCCATCAACCTCCCCCTCTATGACCCGCAGGTAAACACACATCAGAATCAAATGATGAATATTTCTTATCAGTCCATCGTCAGTGTTTATCTAGTGTCGTCCTCACGTTTCCTCTCTTTGTAGTTTGACAACAGCGGGTACCTGTGGGCCGTTGCTCATCTGTTCTGTGTTGGTGAGTAAAGTCTGTTTGATCTGTTCTGCTGTTGAAAATGGATTGAAAGTCAAACAGCATGTGAAAATGAAAATGGATTTGATTTTCAAAGAACACATCAAAGAACATCTCTTAATTAGATTGAAGACAGTTTCTTATAAAATAAATGATTAACTAAAATAGGTCCAACATGAGTCTGAAGCAGGAGACGTTCTGCTCCATGTTCCAGGTGCATACAGGGTGTTTCAAGTTCATTACAAGCCCAGTAATTTAAGGTAAGTGTGTCCCTGAATCCTTGTCACATCAAGTACAGACTCTACACTTGATTAAAATTGTCAAACCAGCTCACTGACACTGTCTCACTCGCCACTGATGCTTTTATTTCTTTTAATTTTAGTGACCTTGAAATACAGTGCATTAACTACTTGTGCAGGTAAGAATAAACTACCTGAAGTCTGGTTTCAGACACGCTACGGAACATTTCTAGACGTGCTGTATAAAAACATTAAAGCATCGAAAGCCCAAATAACTCAAATTAAAATGAAACGCCTGAGTACGAGCAGAACATGTCTCCTTTAACATCAGCAGATAAACTGGTAGCTGGTGCAGCTTCAGTTGTTGTCAGTGACTGATATAATCTTTCCCTCAGTGTTCTGCTGCTGGCTGCTGCTGCTCATCCTACAGGTATGAACCACTCTGCTGATGCTCCCCGTCATTTCTCATTTTACTTTAATAGTGCAGCACTACACTGTTTCTCTGTAGGCGACCTCATGGCTGCCATGGAGTTCCCCTCCCTTCAGTCCTACACATTTCACTGTGGCTGCTGTGCCAGGTATTTTGTGGCTTTGTGTCTTTCTAATTATTTATTATTATTTATTGTCTTGATCAAAATCCTCCAGGAACAATAGCTCTACCAAATAATGTCATTGGTTAAAGTGAACGGCATTTCTGATTTTTATTTCTAGTCTCTTTTTTCTTTGGAGAATAATTTAAAAGAAAAAAAAGACAAAGAATTGAATGTAATAATTATTATAATATAATGTTTGCTTCTTTATAGTTATCATTTGAAAGTCAGTTATAGACTTTAATTACAGTCTGTGGTCCACAGTGCCCTGCTGGGGTTTTTGCTGCTGTTGGCCACCGTCAAACTAAAGACTGGACTCTCCCTCGAGCACTTTAGGATCTGGTGTTTTTTATCAAAGGTGAATATTGATCACGCTTCTATTCATATTTAATTATTATACTTTGTTTCAGAAGAATCCAAAAATTTGTATTTTTTAAATTAAGACCAAAATCACGGCTGGTTATGTGATTCAGTTCAGATAAAACCAGATTAAACAGATAACCCTAAATACATGTTTTATCTTTTCCTCTCAGGTTACTGCCGTGTGCCTCTCTCCGTTGGTTTTCTCCACGGAAATAACTGCTCCATCTCTGATTTGGTGAGTTGCTCGGCTGCTTTTATTCCCTTCTGGCTGATGTTTAGGTTCTGTGATGAAGTAGTGTCACTACTGAATGTGCACGATCAGAAAAAATATTCTTTCAAATTACTCAAAATAAACTTCACTGTTTAAACTTTTTGTCAGATTATGTTTTAACTCCAACTTCCTGAAACCTACAAACACCAGAACCTCATGGACCCGTATGAACCTGCAGCTGATGTTAACTGCTAATGTTGTGTGGTTTCAGTGTGCTCGTCAGTCATGTCGGGGAGGCCTTGCTGGTGTATTCTGACAGAGAACCTCAGCTTTGACAAACAGCACATTTCACTTCAATGAAGAGAACATGTTTATATTTTTTCACTTTTCTAATCTTTTGTGTTTAACCTGCCGACCAAATAAAATGATCTTTGTAATATGATGTGTCTTAGATTTCATCTGAAAATATTTCATCTGGATTGAAGTTTCATTGTAGAAGTCTGAAATTAGTTTCAACAGAAGGGACATTCTCTAAACATTCTGACGTGTGATTAATGAACTGCGAACTTTTCCTGTCGGCAAAAATATTTGACGACGCTTTAAAGGCACAAAGTAACTTTTATTTATCTAATCACATCACAAGCACACTTATCTACAGTCAGGTGACAGCTTCACTGTCCCCAGTGCAGTTTAAATACAGAAACAAACTTCTTATTTCTTTATGGTATTTACTTGCTGTGGACCAAGTCAAACTTCTTCAGCTCTCTTGCTTTGGGGAGAATAAAGCATTCAAGGGTTGTCTCCTCCGTGAGCGAGCCTTAGGATTCTTCTCTTCCTTGATGTAACCTTTGAAAACAAGGGAAAAGAGTTTCAATTTCCGCCTGACCTGACGTGCTGGACATGTGTGCAAAGTTATCAGCGATGTTGAAGGCCTCAAAAATACATCACAAGACAGAAAGGTTGTTGTTCTGGCCCTAATTATCTCAGTATACCACATAATGCAATGATTTCCATGTATTCTAAAGCACCATGGTGTGAGAGCATGGTTAAAGGTGCTCTTGTCTTAAGGTTAAAATGCATCTTTTAATGCTCCACTACAATACTGTACTGGTTTGTTACATTACCTCTTTCAATGCATGTTTGTGTGGATGGGAATCCAACTTCCCAGAAGTTTTCCGGAGTAGAAGGAGGAATGTAAAGAAAGCGGTGCCTCGAGCAGGCGGACAACTTATTTTGCTTTTCCTCCTCTGGAAGATGAGCGTAATACTGGAAGAAAAATAATCATTCTTAAAAACAAAAAAGGACCAACAATTTAAGCATGTTTTATTTTATAATCAAAATACTTACAATTTCACATTCCTTGCAGGTAGCGCCCTTCAGTTTTCTTCTCTCGTCTTTCTTGCGAACTACGGCCACATGTGCAAATGTTGGGTGTCTGAGCCAGAGAAGAAAATGTAGGCTGTGAGAAACTGACAAATTCAGACCGTCTGTTCTTTCGTCCTTTATCTGTTAACCATCAAATATGACAAAGCATGACATTTAGAAATACAAGTGGACATCTGACGGGCTCACCGAGATTTGCTTTGACCTGGAGAGTTTTCAGGAGCATCTTGTTCTGTTTCAGGAAACAAACACAAGTTATGTTCAAGAGCTGGCCTCTTCTGATAAATTACAGGATGACTAACACTGTTCCTATTATATGAAATATATAATATGAAACCAACCATTTTCCTTTTCTTCTTCTTCTTCATCATCATCATCATCACCATCATCATCATCACCACCACCACAGTGATGGCTGTGGCCTACATGTGAACTGTTGTAAGACATGTATTCCCCACAAGCTGTGGTATCAAACATCATGTCCAAACTGTCATTGGCCTTCTCACCGAGTCCTGGAGAAGGAGATGAATGAAACGGTGTCTTTGATTTTATTCATTCATTTAAGATAGTTTATAAGAAAGTTGTGCTCAAGTGTCAATTAAGAGATTTCTTTCTTCATTTTCTTTAACATTACGTTATGTTTTTCAACAAATCAGACATGTTTAGGGGCCTGACATTTATAATGTGCAATCTGATGCCTGATCCATATAAAAATCCAGATCTAGTGAATTTAAATGTGTTTTCATGTGGGGACCGTTGGTCTTTGGTGGAGGTGTGCACTCTCTGAGTACCATTCTAGTTCTACAAGATTTGGTTTGTATTTTTACCTGAAACGCTGTCCTCTCGGGCCCGGTCATTCTCTCCCTGACGCTGGAGTAAACTGTGACTGACCCAGGTGCAGTCGGTGTCTGGGAGTTCTCCATGACACTCTTTCTCTGTTTGCTAAAATACAAAGAAACCCTGTGTGAGGCTCCATTATCCAGTACATGCAGATCCTGTTTTTCAAGGTTTCATTCAACATTTACTTTTAAACGTTAAGACTTGTGCCGATCACAGAAAACCTTCCTGAACAAACAGGAGCAGCAGTCGCAGGGTGACACACAACTAACCGGATATTTACCTTACAATAAGAACAGAACGAGACCAAGTACAAACAATATGAGGTCATGTGACCGTACCTCATCTCCTCTCCACTCGCTGTCATACATGGACAGGGCGAGCGCAGGGTCAATGCTCCACATTGGTTCCACTTTGCATTTCCTTTCAGCTGCGGTAGATCAAGTCAGCACAGTCACGTTAAATTCAACTGAATGGATACTCAGAACAATCAGAGACAAAGATTTTCATTTTAAATAATTCCACTGCGAAGGACAGCAACTCACCATTCTCTGCTTCATGTCGGTCACGTGACGCGTCCTGCAGGGGGGTTCTTTTCCTCCCAGCGCCGTCCCCCGATCCTTTACACCTCACGTCTGGTTTCTTGAAAGCAGGACTTGCAGAAAAAAGACTGGGCTCATTTTGTCCTGAATCAACCTGTTGAACATATGAAACAGAACCGATATGAACATATTGGTAACAGGATATAGAAAACTCGGAACTACATTTTGTTCCTGTACAACACCTGTCTCTCTTTATCCTTGCTGTCCGGCAGCTGCTTCACGAGACTTTGATTTGGTGTTGAGGTGCGTTCGATCAGTTTGGGTTCTGTGTGTTTGCCTTCCTTCTGTGAGTCCACCCGCTCCTGGGTCCTATGTTTGTTGTCCTCTTTCCTCTGAATTTCCTCCTTCTTCCTTTTAGCTTTGTGATTGAAGCTGTCCGCTGAAAACCTCTTGACTCGGGGGAGAAGAGATGGGGAACTTTCCATAGTGGAGTCTGGACTGTGGATCAGTGTGGACGGAGAAGAGGAGCCATGAGGCCTTAAAACAAGAAACCCAACATGTTGATTCAGCACATTTCTAAATCATGTATTATCAGTGAATGTGAAAATTGAGACCAGTCTGTATATAAACTGTAAACAAAAAAATATAAACTGTATAAAACTGTAAATAAACTTATGGTTAAAGCGAGCTCCTCCAGCTGCAGCTACAACATTAACACGCTCTAATAAAATAATAATAATATATAATCAAATATTATATTATATAAATCATATTGAATATATTATTACCAAACCAGAACTTTTCCTTTAATACTACCTTTTGCTGATGATACTTAATCTTGATAGTACTTTCACCTTGCTGTAGTAGTGTTTCGACATAAGCAAAGGATGTGAATATTTCTTTCACCAGCTGTACTTACTTTAAAGAAACGTTATTTTTCCAGAGAGGCTTCGAGCTCCTCGGCTGCACTGCAGCCACGTCACTTTTCTGAGGAGAGGGAAAATAACCAGAGGGAGAAAAAAATAACCAAATGAGTTACACTGTCTAGATTAAGATTCAATCATTGTTTCAAAAAGATACATGATGATTGAGCTCCACCTGTATGAGCCCCACCTACCATGGGATGCTTGACAAGTAGTTCGAAGGCGCATGTTTCTGCGATCACTTCTTCTCTATCAGGACTCGAACCGTCTGAAAGGACACAGAGACGTGTTCAACCTACATCAGCAGCGCCACAGTGCCAGGAGTCAATCCCCTGAGCCCAAATCAATGACAGCAGAGGAGTAAAATAAATTATGTCAGTTCAGATAAGTGTTGCGTGGTACAACATAGAATGAACTCATACTTGAGATTTGGGATGCGTCCAGGTCACATGTGTTGGGTACAAGCACTTCTGCTGTTCCAGGATTCTTTGCCGCATCGACAGGCTTCAGCTCTGAAACAAGAACAAAACAAGACTGAAGACATGACACCCTGGGGCGGGGATTCAGAAAACAGATGAGGGCATTACATGTTGAAATGTACGTTAAAGCAGACTGACCACTGAAGAGCGAGTTATTACTGTGTGTTAAAGGCCGTTCTGTGTATCGAACGCGCCTGCTTTTGTCCACGTTTTTACGTTTCTTCAGTCTGTTCGCCGCGGGCAGCGAGCTCGGCATTACTGGTGAGTCAGGGATGACGCCTTCTTCCTGTTCTGGGGCTGAGACCTGTTGGAGCTCGGAGCTGATGAAGCAACACAGACACAGCAACATCTGACTGGGAACTTAGACTCACAGTGCCGAACAACACAGGTCACAAATGACGAATAATAAACCAGTGCTCCCGCACAAGTGTACAGAAAAGAACTTGACCAGAAATGAAATAACTGCAGGGTTTGTAACCATTTTATACAACATAGAAAATTGTATTTATTTGAAGATATTTGTAATTTCAAAGCAAAAAAATGATTTAAACATGGCTGCAATAAAGTAGAAATCTTACCAAGACATCTTTAAGTTCTGCACTTCAGCTTGTAGTTTTCTGTTCTCATCCTTCAGGACGTTTCTTTCATTCTCTGTGGAACACATTTTCCAGCAGGTGTCAGTGTGTTGGGCCAATTGATATTTTGTCTAGAGGCACTAGAGGAAAAGGGGGAAATCAGGGGATCTCCGGTACAATGTTAATCTCTTGGTTAGTCGCTGCTCTATGTGACAGTAGAATAAGAACAATAACAATGAGTTGACTCACTCAGTTCAGCGATGAGACGCAGATTCTGCTCCTGGTCGTTTTTCAGGTTCTCCTCTAAAATGGCACATCGATCACATTCTCCTGCTCGGAGCCTGGAAACAGAAACAGAGTTAACTCTGTTCCATGGTCTCACGTGGTTGGAAGTTAACCTGGACTACAGGTAGTTACCTTTCCTCCAAGAGGCTGATGGCATCCTGCAGGCTTGTGTTCTGCTCCTTCAGCTGCTGGTTGCGACTGTAAAACACCTCAAGCCTCTGAGCATCTCTGTAGAAATCAAACGCAACAACGGTTTTAGAGCTGCACTGATTCATAGATACACAAAACCTATTTTAGTCAATGATTAATTGCAGTAAATCTCTCTAGCTCCTCAAATCCAAGGATTTGATGCTGTTGTTTTAAATACGTGATTCATTGGACAAAACAAAACAATTTATGGAGAAAATAAACCTAAGTTGCAGCTTAAGTCAGTCTAGATAATAAAGGCAAATATTAATAAATATAAAACCTCATCAAAGACCCACTTGTATAAGTAAAACTGTGATTAAAATGTTTTCTTTTTACACTTTTTCTTTCATGCTTTAATTAAACTGTGAACACAAACTTGTTTCTATTTCAGTCACTTCTAAAACATCTGATGAGCACATATATCTTTCCATGCTTGTATGTGTGTAAACACAAATAAACTGGACATAAATAATTTCAAGAAGTCAAAAATGCTCTTGTGTTTATCTTCACCATGTACCAGTGTACTCACAAACAGCGCTCCTTCTTCAACCTGCCCACTCTTGTCTCCAGTTCTGAAAAAAGGAAAGAAAAATCAAACCTCTAAGTGAATATTAATTCAGCATCTGATAATCAACAGGAGCCAGGAAAGAAAATACACATGTGTGCAGCACATCATGGGGTCAGTCACCTTGAAGTGCATTCTGGTGACACTCTCCGAGCTGCCTCCACAAGTCCTCGAAGAGTTCAGCTGGTCTGTTTGTCCCACTGCTCGGTCCTGGGCTGCTCATCCTCATAACTGGAGAGTATTTCCTAATGAAGGAAGAAAAAACAATGACACTCAAGAAAATATATTTAAAGTCTTTTAAGTTAATGCTGCGCTCACACTAGAGGATAATCAGAGAGATATCTGGAAGGATTCAGCCCCTCCTAACAAACAGGTTTGACATTCACAATTTGAAGTGGGAGACAATCTGACCCAGTGGTGTAGCATTAGAGGAATGGTGAATGGGTGATATACTACTAGAGTTTAAAATAAGCATTTTAAATTAATTAAGGGATTTTACACAGACATTGTTGTTGTAGGTCATGATCTTGCGACAATGATGCGTATACTGACCCAGAGAAGTGTCCTAGAGCATTATTCTGTTCACTGAGTCCCTATACAGTGAGTGAGGGTTAGTGGATGAGTGAAGGATTTCAGACAGTCGCTGTTTGTTAAAGTGAGTGAACCCACGTCTCAACTAGCTTGTCAAATGTTTCATGATGAAAACATTAAAACTCTGTTACATCTGTCGTCTCCCATGTTTTTCACAAAAGGGTGAAATTTGAAAATGCTTCAAAATAATAAACTTTGAGGCTGAATTTCTCCAAAACGATACAGTAAATAAGCTCGATGCTGAGTGAGTGAACAGTCAGGATGGTCCTGAGGACAACTCCTGAAACCTTTGTCAGAAGTTATGGATTAAAGGGGTTTTACAGTAGCACAAAGATCGGCTCGCTCCGCATCATGGACTGCTCACTTGAGCGCAGTGTAAAAAGTCAGGAGAAAATACGAGGAGCAAACCGAAGCCATGTTTCCAAACCACTTAAATAAACGTCGACTGACGGACACAAACCACATTCACTGTATGTGTCTGTCAAACTTCCCATTCATGGCGCCTCTGCTGCTTCTGGCTGTTAATTCAAACTTTTCATCGGGATCGAAACAAACAAAAGCTACCGACGCTACGCACGCTACAGACGCTATACACGCTACAGAAGCTACCGACGCTACACACGCTACCGACGCCGCCGACGGTTCGATTAAAAGATACTTACAGAATGACGACGTCCTCCGTTTAAACGACTCACACTCGTAGTTAATCCGTTTTAAATCACACTCGGCGACATGTTGTTGACATGAACTCTTCTTCTTCTTCTTCTTCTTCTTGTTTTCACCTGCTGCTGAATCCAAAACTAGCGCGTCGCGCTGCATGCTGGGAGGACTTCCTCTACCCCCACTTCCGGTATTTGCCCCGCCCACTTTGTCTACGTCATAGTGTTGCGTTCAACACAAGCGGGAAATTCAGGTTTTTTTTTAAGTTGGATATGTCAGTGGTTTAACTGGATGCATGTGATTGCACGTGCATGTGTGTATCTCTGTCACTGCTCGCAGTTTGAATTAAAGAGGAAAAACAGAAAATTCAGATGCTTGTCAATTACTAACTGGAAATGTTATTTTTAGAAGTTAGTGTTTTCAAGTATGAAACTAAATGTTTAATGTGGAATTATATCATATCATATTTATTTTGGATTCATAATTATTTGCATCTGTATGAATCTCTCTAGGAAAGTTTTTCTTTGAGGACAAAGAAAAAAAACATACAATTATGATACAAAAAAACCATTTATAATTATATATATTATATGTCTTATTATACATCCATACATCCATCTTATTATACATCCATGAACTTCTTAATGCTTCATATCTGCCTGCCAGGTACTGTTTGGTGCCCAAAAATACACACAATAAATGGAAAACACTGTTTATTCTTATATTTGTTTTTATTTTTGGTCTTTCTTTAGAATACAAAACACGAACGAAAATCACAAAAGTAACATTTACAAAACAGATCGTTAAACTGAGGTGACTGAGGCAACATAGGAAAGCATGTCTGAAACAGTGATGTTGGTGGGTCAGCCTGGAACCTTGAGGTAAGCAATGTCAAAAAGGTCAAATATCTTATCAACTGTTTTTAATAATTAGTGCCTTTACTCAGTAGTGCTAATCACAAATTTTATGTGTTTGACCATTATTATCATTATGATTTCCTAACATGTCCACATTTAGCAGCGATTTAAAGATGTAGTGTTTCAGACCTAAGGACTAAATGACTATCATGACATGTAGGTTGAAAATTAATGTTGAGCTGTATGGCACTATTTTAATGGGTTTTATTTTAGTTGTCTAACACACACGTATACACCCACCCTCACACACACACACACACACACACACACACACACACACACACACACACACACACACACACACACACACACACAACTCTGTTTCTACTCATTCAATGGTTGCAAATGATTAAAAAAAACATCCTCTGCTTGCTCCCAAACCCAGAATACTTGTGGCTAAAATAAGTGAGTACTTTGAATCACCCAAAAGCGTTTCAAGCAGGGAACAAAAGCTGCTACAGACTTTGGGAAAAGTTAACGCAGTTTGTCCTTAAACGTGTGACAGGGCAGAAAAAATAAAACATGCGTAAAGCGACTAATTATTGGAATGGCCATCAGTCGAAGGCACAAACTCAAAGTCCCATCTTTCTCTTAAAATACAAAAAAAAGGTAAGACATGACAATGCATACGCCGCATCGCTGAAAGTAACAATAAAAACTAGCGTCACTCACCAAAACACAAAGCAGTGAAAATAGCACAGTTTAGTCTGCACTGGAGTGCGCAGGTATGGTTTTGCATGAACAAACATTTCTCGTCTTTTCTTATTTCACATATAAGACATGGTCACTGGTGATTCAGCATCGGAGATTATTACTTTTCTTTTTAGTTCCTTTGGATGTGTGCCTTTTTGTTGATTTTGCATCTGTCACTGCAGGTAGATTGAGCTAGCATTACTTCATATAGCTATATGTACACATGCATTCAACATCATTGGTGTACCCCAAACAAAAAAAAAACTCCCTTTTCACCACTTAAAAGAGTTGAAGCTATAAAAACCTGCATGACAGTCCACAAAAAAGTTTGCATGGGGGCTGTTTGATGTGAGATATGCAGCAGGTCGTAGAGGTGCTGGCGCTGGGGAGTGGCGTGGGATGCAGCCGTATTCCGTCAAGGGGAAGAGGGGAAGAGGATAATGAGGACAGGGCCGATTCTTCACCACCTCCTTGTCTGAATGGCGCCCTCTCTGTATGAAGTTGGGTTTTAAGATTCACATTATGCTGGAAGAGGAGTAACTGGTTGCAAACTCTGGCAGAGCAGGTCTTCACCAAGAGCAGAAAACACTGGAGTAGAGTGTGAATGCATATCTACCATCTCCTAACCTGCAGAGAGAACAGCACGCGCTAATATGATGTTGAAATCCACGTGTGACTCTGGTGAAATGTTTTGGATAAGCACATCATACTCACGCTTCCCTCTCTTCACCACTGCGGCGGCACATAGCTGTAGCTGGGTGTGCCGGGAGTCCGATATGTGGGCATCGTGACCGGGTGGGGGGCAACAGATGCTGGTGATGGAGTTGTCAACAAAGTCCCTGAAGAGCAGAGTGAAACAAAAAGTCGTGTAGTGTGAACTTGGCATTACTTTCAGACAAATTGCACTTAAAGCACATGTTGTCTTCACATTCACAATCTTTCATAAACAATGCCCATGCTGCTTGTATTTGTACTGCTCTATAACTTTCCTTAAATCTGAAATAATGTAAATCCTCATATTTCACTGCAAAACAATAGAGTTGCCAGAATGACTTAAGACAAAACCCTGTAGCTCACCAGCGGACATGGCCATGGTGGTGCCTGCTACCATCCCCATGGTGACGCCGTTGGGGCGGTGATGAGGGATGGTCTGGGCATACATGGCAGGCATCCCGTTCGGCTGGACCACCGTCGTGTGATGGATAACATGAGGCGGTGCAGCGTACAGCGGCTGTGTGTAGTAAGTGCCCTGCTGTTGTGAGGGTATTAATGCCTGGAGCACAGAAGAACAGAACAGCATGTTACAGCTGAAATCACAGAGGTGAAGCTTGGAAACCAGTGTCTGACAACACGACAACAAACTGGAGGCGTACTGACCTGTGCATATGGGTTCTGTTGGGGGTAGGTGCTCCTGACAGGGTAAACAGCAGCAGGGTAGGGGTTGGGCGAGGAGGTGTAGGGTGGGACTGTGCCCGTGTTGGGAGAGCAGGACATTTTGAAAGGAGTGCCCGGGGCGTAACCTGGAGAAGGACGCCTCACATTAGTGCTGCAGGTTTTAAATGTGCTGTCTCTTAAATCTAGTAGTGCTCTGCGTCATCTCCCTCTGATGTGACACGAGCATAATGCAGTTCAAATGACAAATAAGAGCACTTTTGGTTGTAAGGAGATCTTCACTAAAATCTAAAATCATTTGTAGCTCAGAAAACATAAGCGGTGAACTCCAGATATTCTCCTGAAATGACCTGGAGGGGCTGTATGACATTCCCTTCAATCTCTCCTGCCAGACCCCTCCCCTTAAAAATACTGAATAATATCTAGGTGTGTAACCCTCAACTAGTGTGAGAAAAAACTATTCTATGGTATTTTTACAGTTTATTTAGAAATCTTTGGATCAAACATGTAGAATTTGATCAATCTAATGAAGTGCAATAGTGTAAGTATGTATAAAGCATTAATCGCCACAATCTTATTAAACACTCTTTTTACCACTCGGGAAGGCTGCATTTGCTCCTGCGTAGATGTTGGGATTATACGCTGGAGCAGTTGCGTAGCCAACAGGGAATCCAGCTGCCATGAACAAAGAGAAAGACAGACAGAGTTATGTTTGTTAACGTTTTGATATTTTCCTGGAGTTGAGATATTTTAGTCTTTAAGTTATTACCTGGGTAGCCTAAACCTTTAGTATTGGTAAAGGGAACCCCTGTTGGTGAAGGGCTGTAAACCGGATTCATTTTGGTCTCGTTCTTACAGATGCTGCAGAGAGAAGCACAGCATCATTTTAGAAACATGTTAAATTTAATGCAAGGCAGAGATAGAAAGACGACACTGAAACTCCAGAGCTTCAGCTGTTTCAACACATTGAATCTGCTGAAGAAAACCACACGACTGACGCTTCACCAGTAAGGTAACAACATCATCATTTTATATTCTTGTGTATTTATTCATTATTTACTACAAACGCTGACATGAGACTGCTGCTATGAGTGTGACAGACCACCAGGTGTCACTGCATTTGCTTTGTTTAAAGCTGCACTGATACAGCATTAATGCAATGATCCAGGTGGAATACATGTAAATCCAACACCGATCCATGAGCGGATCTCTACGTTTCCAAAGAAACATTCCCCCTCAAATATCAAGAAGGAAAAATGGTGAGGAAACATAATAAACACAGTCACCTAGTATTACAAATGATATTTCACTTCACATATAACAATTCAGTCTGTGTTGAACCTAATCAGACCTTGAGCTCTTTCTCCACATTGAATCAAACAACACAGTGTTCATTATTTACAGTTATTTGTGTCATTTGTGTAAATGGCTCCAACAGCCAATGACCTTCGAGACATCTGGAACAAAGCGTGCTGAGCTGCTGTTATGATGAAGAATATTACGCATGGACATTTCTTCTTAAGCCTGATATAAATACTAATCTTACATTTTGCACAGCTCAACCTGAAACCCAGCTTTTCTGGCATTGTCAGCCGACTCTTAAAATTCTGGAACTATGACAGAAAGATTGAGGGAAAAGCTTTTATCATAAATTCATTGACTGTCCATGCCAAACTCTATACAGCCCACATCAATCAAAAGGTTTTGGAGGCAAATGCCCCTTTTTCTGTTTTCCATAAAGAGTACTTAAAAAAGAATAAATCCTGTAACAACATAAAAACAGTACAGTATAGTTTATGTGTTGTGTGTAAACTGTGTATTATATGGATTCACAAAATGTCCCCTTTATTCATTTTCACTCACTTCACTCATTATTTACTTGTTTATTTATTTATCTTTCCTCCCTTGTGGTTACCCCTCTGCTTGTTTGTTTGATGATTTATTTAAATAAAAAATAATAATAATACATTGTAGCTCTATGCATAACGCTCTCCAATGGAGAAAATAAAGAACGTCATCACAACCACAGTCATCAGGAGGTAACATACACCCCCCCAAACCCAGAAAACCTTAACAAGCAGATGATTAAATGTCATCACAGTGTGCGTAACCATAGATTAAGTGTCTTCAAATCTGATTTTTCACTTTTAGATCATCTAATACACATTTGTGACCATTTTGAGTCTTTGTTCTCTCCATAAATGAATCCCATCTTATCCACACCCTGTAAACACTGGGAGACATCGCTCTGCTGCTTATTAGTGAAAGCTTTTGAGTTGAGAGCCAACTCTCTGTTTGGCCAAGTCTAAATTGTTGCCATGGAAATGCAGGGGAAATTTGAAAATTTGAAACTTAAAATAACACAAGATATCAGTCCACTCCCTAATTAACATTATAGTGAAGTTCCACAAAGTAAATGATTACAGATGGACAGACGGATGAACGGATATATATGCCCATGCATATTATAAAAAATAATTAAATTATTGTCTGTTGGTCTCGTCCTGATCACCAGCTTTGACTTGGCTACCTCAGCTAACTGCTATGTAGCTCCAGCTTTTCCTCTGATACCACTCGTAATACTCGTACGACTGTAGCATTACAAGGTGCATCAGAGGTTTACTGTGGAGAAATCTTATTTCATGGCTGCAGACAGGTTTTTATTCATCAGCAGTCCGACGATGGAGATTATCTAAGACATCAGTCGATCACTAGTCCAGGTGCTAAAGGATCCACAGCTCTTACACAGTTAGTCTTATTTCAGTGATGAGACGGTTTAAAAGTGACTGAGCACAAGATATAATTCATATTGACGGGAACAGTGAGGACTGCCAGGGGCTTGTTTGGGATGACCTTGCCAGGTAACAGTCACTTTGTGCATTTATCTTTCCACACATATTCATAACTGGAATTACAATGATTACGTGGAAGCTGGTTTGGTGTTTTGTATTTTATGCCTAATTTAACACAGTTCAAGAACAAGGCGTGGCTCTGCACGAGCTCTCACTGCAGAGCTGAGTTTAAAATTTAAATACCAGCTCTAATCCATAAACATCTCACTGTTTTTTTGGCATTGTTGAAATGTTTAACTTTCTGTAAAATGCAAAATATCAAAAAAGTTAAATCAACTCTTCATCACATCAGTCATTCACTTTTACGAATTGCATTACACAACTTTCTTTGTACTGTTGCCAGAGGCTACCCTGACATCTGCTGTACACGATGCTCATTAGTAGAAAAGTACTCAGGTAGAATTTTGTCACTGTGCTGAGACATTATTACATCACTTTACCGGGAAATATAAAACATTTAATGAACAGTTCCACAGTGTAGTGAACTGACAGGGACTTGTTTCAGCTAAAAGGAGAGATCACCATACAGCAGAATAGGAGCAGAATAAATTAAGGTTTGGCATCGGTTGGGCGATACGACCAAAATTATATCAAGATACAAAAATTCACATGAGTCTGTGTGCTTACACAATGCCTAAGCATTATATCGATATAAATTGGAATTTTGTTGTAATGCTTCTGATGAAAATTATATTAAGGAAAGCTGACAACAACAAACTTAAGAAGTTCATGTTACTATCCATGTGTAATATTACTATCCATTTGCAATGCTACTAATCATGTGCAATATTACTATCCATGTGTAATATTACTATCCATTTGCAATGCTACTATTCATGTGCAATGCTATTTATCATGTACAATGCTATTTATCATGTGCAAAAATATTATTCATGTGCAATGCTTTTTGTCATGTGCAAAAATATTATTCATGTGCAATATTCCTATCCTTATGTAATGCTTCTATTTAAATGCAATATTATTCATGTGAAATATTATTCATGTGCAATGCTACTAATCATGTAAAAATCACTGTTTTCCCATCCGATTATCATTATGCTCAATATCATGTGCAATATACACTTTTATCTTTACTTACACTTATATTTTATATACTTAATACTTGCATTGCTTAATTCTGTTGTCTACTGTAAATTGTGATGCTGTAATCCTGGAGGAAGCTGACACAGGATCAATACAGTGTTGTCTTATATTATCTGGGATTATTATTGTTGCTGCCCAGCCTAATCTTGGTTTAAGAGTGATTATCCAATAATCGAAATGTGTCGAGCAATTTATTAATGAATCAGCTCGGATGCTTTAGCTTTCATTTAAAAAACTGCAGCTCAGTGAGCAGCAGATGTTTGACAAGGGGATCAGACCTGTGATGTTTGAGGATGACACACACACACACACACACACACANGACACACACACACACACACACACACACACACACACACACACACACACACACACACACACACACACACACAGGCTGCTGTTTACAGGTGACGTGATGTTCCTGTACGAATAAAGATGGCAACCTGTCAGTGGGAGAGCTGAGCAGCCGCGGCCGGGGCTTTGTTACCACCAGCGGGCTCTGCTCTCAGTCTGCGGACGCCCTGAGTACATCCACCCCCCGCACGTACATCGGTCCCTGCGTCTACACTGACACCTGTCCGACCGCGGAGACCACCGCGTCCGCCATCCCCCGGGCCAGCAGCGGACAGATGGGGGGCAGCCTGTCCGCAAGGCCGCAGAACAGAGCGCCGACGCCGCTGTGTCCCGCAGACACCGCGGGTCCCCTCCCTCAACAACCACAGGTGAACACGCACCTTGTCCCGCACACATTGACCTCCGGTGAGTTACGGTACCTGTGCGTTTCGCGGCCGAGTGTCCCTCTGTCCTCTGCCGTCAGATGAGACGTAGCTGCCGCTGCTTTGATCCAGATGCTTCGCTCAACTCTTTTGAGCACCGCGCGTCACTTCCGAGTCGCGTCACGTGGTCCGCATATATTTATTTTATTACATTTCTATACAAATACAAACAATAAAAAACAGACACCTTCCTGTTTCCTCAATCAAATAATTCAGTCTCAGGTTGGGTGGAAAAAAAGAAATATAAAAAAAAACACAAACACAAAATATAATTTAATATTGTGCTTTGTTTAAATCCACTGATCAGATGAATCATTTTTGTTTTTTTGTCTTTACACCTAAAACGTTGTTTTAGTTTCTTAATACAAACACAATCTGTGTAAGACAGATGTGAAACAAAAATATATATTTTTTAATGTAAATTATATTTTTCAGAGCGGCCAGTGGCTGAACAAGGTTCCAGGTCCTTTGAGCTGTCAGTGCTGCTACACTGCAACACAGTTACACTACAAAAATGCCACAGTGTAATAAAGTAAGAACAGACAGTAACACTACTATATTATAACACACTGCTATTGTTACAGTTGCTACACTGTAATCACAGCTAATTGTCACCATGCTACATTGTAACACTGTATCACTGCTAACTGTCACCATGCTACATTGTAACATTGTAACACTGCTAACTGTCACCATGCTACATTGTGACATTGTTAGATTGTAACACTGTATCACTGCTAGCTGTCACATTGCTACAATGTAACACTGTACCACTGTATCAGTGCTAACTGTCCCCATGCTACATTGTAACACTGTAACACTGTAAAAATGTATCACTGCTACAGTTGCTACACTGTGGCAGCTCTTCCGCAGTGCTGCCCTCTGGTCCTGACAGGAATTAAAATACATTTGATTCGAAAGGGGGGGATCTCTTTATTTGACAGCGTTTCTCCACCGGTTATGACACAGTATGAATAAGTATGATATTTACTGTCGCTTTTTGTGTTTAACCACCACGTTTCTTTGTCAAACCCACAGTGAGTTCTACTGTTCTTCCAGGACCTTGACGCATCGCCTCCATTCAGCCATTGGAGTGGGGGCAGCGGGGTCCTCTCTGTTGTGGTTTAACTGCGATCTACGTGTGATTCCACAGCGAAATGTTGCCATGTAACCCACATTAGGAGCCATTCTGCGGTGTAAGCTCAAGCTGTTCTGTCGGCTGGCGTCGTCGGTGCGGAGCAGGGCTGTAATGTCTGGAGCTGTCGGTGGAGGAGGCTCCTCCTGTCTGGGCGCAGCGGCGGCGGCCAGTTGCAGCTCCGCCGGCTCTTCCTACGCTGCCGCAGCCGGAGGAGGCGCGGGGGTGGCCGGGAGGCTGCCGGCCCGGGTCCTGGAGCACGTCTTCTCCTATCTGGAGCTGAACGACTTGATGCGGTGCTCGCTGGTCTGCTGGCACTGGAACAACATTCTGGCGGACGAAAACAGTGAGGTGTGGCGCAGCCTCTGCAGCCGGAGTCTGAACGATGAAGCTCTGCGGTCTGACATCCTGTGCAACCTGCTCACCTACAAGGGGAAAGTAGGTTTTCCTGTGCACCACCTATGTGTCTGGTTGAGAGAATAGTGGATACTCGTGACCTCAAGTCAGATATCTGCCTGTTTAGTGACACCTCTGTTCTGTAAACACCTCCACGGATCGTGGTGGATAATGGCCTGCACACTGCCTCCTGCACGAATCCACAAGCCATAGAACGTCCGAAGACCCCTCACATCCAGCCTTTTAGTTAACAAATACAAAATAATACATTAAATACATCTCTGTGTTTAATTAAAATATGAATGAAATTGGCAGATTTGAATTATGTGCACGGTTGTTTAGTAACAAAATGACAATTGTTGTTGTTAGCAGCATATATTCATAACTATGCACACCACATGCTAGGAAGTGATAGAAAGTAAATTCACAACAATAACTGAACGGGAATATCTGAGGGGAACTGTTTTCATGGGACCATGTGCATCCCCCTTAAGGACTCCTGCAGGTCCCCAGACCTCAATTTGAGCCCTGCTGGTCTGATAATACTGGATCAGATTCTACACCTTAAAATGGCAAAATCCAGCTCTAACCCCAGAGTAAAACCTCATATTTCTGCTTTTTCATGTGAGCATATTGATGACCTCAAACTGTAACTAGCACTCATATTCATTGTTCAAGTTTTCCAAATCTCCAGGAATCACAATAATAAAGATAATTGCTGTTTCGAATATTCTGTTAGCAAAAAAAACTGATCAATCTCATGTCTTCTACAGCTCAAGTCTTTTCAACATGCCCTGAGCTCCCACGACTGCTCCCGCAATGTTTATGTGAAGAAGAACGGCTTCACCCTGCACCGCAACCCCATTGCCCAGAGCACGGATGGTGCACGGGGCAAGATTGGCTTTTCGGAAGGGCGGCATGCCTGGGAGATCTGGTGGGAAGGCCCCCTTGGCACCGTCGCAGTGATCGGCATTGCCACGAAGCGGGCGTCGATGCAGTGCCAGGGCTACGTGGCTCTGCTGGGTAGTGACGACCAGAGCTGGGGCTGGAACCTGGTCGACAACAACCTGCTGCATAATGGGGAAGTTAACGGAAACTTTCCACAGTGTAACAATGCACCCAAATATCAGGTGGGTTCTGGAGCCATGTCTGCATGTTGTTTGTGATGTTGTTATTGATCCAAATAGTGAGACATGTTTACTATATTTGTGTAATCCAACACCAACATATGTGATTATGTTTGTCAACAGATCGGGGAGAGAATCCGGGTGATTCTGGACATGGATGACAAGACGTTAGCCTTCGAGAGGGGTTTTGAGTTTCTTGGAATAGCGTTTCGTGGACTGCCCAAAGCCTGCCTATTCCCCGCTGTCTCTGCAGTATACGGCAACACTGAAGTCACCATGGTATACCTAGGAAAACCTCTGGATGGGTAGAAGCAGAACAACACGTGCCACATCGTTCAAACTAACAGGCCGCCAATGAGTGTAGGACTTTTTCCATCAACTGAGTGCCAGCCATGCTCCTTGCACCATGTCAGAAGGTGGTCATGTTTCTTCCAAGCAAAACAACTCAATTCATGTACAGAAAGAGAAGTACAACTGGACATGAAGCCAGAGTCAGGTTCTGGACTAAAGAGACTACAGGAGAAAAGGGAGGTGTGGGAAAACTCATAAACAAGTTTCTGGATCAATGTGGAAGCGTCTTCTTTTACAGTTTAGCTGCTGGACTTTTTTATTTACACGGCAGGGGGGAACATGGATGTTATGTCTGCTTGAATGAGGCCAAAACCATTCTAAACCGTGACAAATACTTTAAGATATTGTTTTAATGAGTGACACAGTAGTTGTTATAAATAGCTCAGATAATGGACTCAGAGCATTATGAATTGACACAGGTGAACTTGAATCAGAGACTGGATTATGATAGATGTATGCCAAATTAATATTACCTATAATGTTGTGTTTTGATAAAGGCAACCCGAGGATGTGGGGACCATCTGTCATGCACTTGTATGGACGCTGGAGTGTGGACCGAAACATTTGTCCTTTTCAAAATCTCATCCAGTCTTGGTGGAAAATATACCTGTATCATATTAATGTTTGTCCTTTTTAATGTGCTACTGTAGTATTACACACTATTTATTGGTTTTATCTATGGTACTATTGATACTGTATGTTATAAGGCCTGAAAATAAAGTCTACATGGTGCCACTCTGAGAATAAAGATAGTTTGATGTTTTTTTGTTGCACAGAATATATGGTTTTACAGCACAGCCAGTAAAAGTCAGTTTGTCTGCATGTTCACAGCTGTCCAGTTACACTATGTGTTCCCAGTTAATGCCACATGAATCTAAACTTTAAACATTTGAAGATGCAGACTAAAGATCATCCACATGTTCTCTGACCCTGAAGCGACTTCACTGCATGCAAGGCATGGTGGTTTTATTAATAGAGCACATTTCATATACCCAGAGGTAGATTCAAGATGGTGTACAGGGACATTCAAAACAACACAGTCACTATTTTTGAGTTTTCAAGGCTAAAATCCAGTATCTGTCACTGTCTGACCTGCTGCAGTATCATCAACACTTCAAAACTGTGTACAGTCAGGAAAAAGGCTCAAGATATATATATTAAAAAAAGGAAAAATGCAGTAACAGAGCCAGCAACACTAAGTGCAACACGATATTTGGATGTTTCGTTGAACACAACAGCTGGTTCGCCTCGTTTGAAAAACAGTAATTATTATTATATTCTAATTATTCTTCGGCCCCACTGCTGATACATTAAATTAAGCTTTCAGTTACAACATGATTTATAGAGGAGACTAATGAATGAGACATGTTACTGTTCTCATCTCAACCCATGTGGTATATGTCCACTGTATTAATGGTCCTTCCAGGCAGCAGCTACAGCAGCGTTCTTTTTGAATTGGTGACAAAAGCAAAGTGCACCACTTACAGACGCTCAGCCTCCATCAGCAGGAAAAACCACAGTAATGGACACTGAGCTCATAAATTATGATCTATTGAATATGTGCTAAGAGCTTAACAGCCATATATCCAACTACTTCTCTGAGAATTTCCCTGTATATCCTAGCATCTAAAGCTCTCTGGTCTAATCTCAGCATCTTGTTTTGACCATACTGTGTGTCTGTAAATCTAATCAGGGGACTTACACTACCTGTGTCATTCAGATCACATCAAACCTACTGCAGCCGCCTGAGAGTGACTTTCTTAATGCATACTGATCCATCCCGTTCATGGGAAAAGACATAAGCAAGACTGCTGGTGTGATGATGTAGTAACGATAACTGAGTCAGAAGACTCAGTTATCAAACATGTAATATGTCCTATTACCACAAGAGGACAGTGATTATCTTGTGTTACGTGTTGTGCCAACAGATACGAGTCTTACACCACTGAAAGGCCTGATCCTGTGCAGTGTGAAGATAACAAGTCAGAGACTGACATGAGGTTCAGGGCAGAGGATTAACATGAGTTTAAAACTCACTGTCTGGATCCATGAGGTCGAACAAACTGCAGAATGTTCTTTCTCGTTAAACAATTGCAAAGCTACAGTATAGGTCATAAATCCCTACTCCTCTATGTTAAACTACTGGTCAAATCTTTTTTTACCCAAAGATGGCTTCTGTCATTTTAGGTCGTTTTTATCACACTGATGTATGTTCTGATGAGTTCAAGTTTAATTAGTTATTTGATTTGATAAAAATGAGGTGAAACATTGTGACTCTGGCTCCAAATGCATTTGATGGTGGTGTTCACATCCAGGATATTTCAGCTTCATATCTGTGTGAGGATAGGCAGATTTTATGTAATAAGGGGAAAAGGACATGCTGCCATTCTTTTTCTGTGGTGGGTTTTGTTTTAAAGTGGTCATTGTTCTGAAGCATTGCTGCCACACCTGGTCACTGGTGGAACTGTCAGTGTTGCTGAGAGCAAAATGTGCTTATAAAATATATTTTCCAATGGACCCACGGGGAACCTAATGTTTTGGAATTAGATATTTTATTCATGAGTATATAACAGTATAGTATGTAAGAGTGGGGGTCGGAGTGTGACACCGAACAAAGGTCACTTCACAATCAGCTGATGCTCTCTTTCTCTCTCAGATGTTTTACTTTTGCTCAGAGGACATCAAACTCAGCATGGACAATTGTGTTGTCACTCAAAGTTGGAAAAGAATCAGAAGCGAGACCTACAGATGTCCAGTATGAAAACAGGAAGGACTCACCAACAAATCAATTCTCCAAGGACAGGACCATCACTTCCTGTTTCCTAATTCCCTATTCTTGCACCCACGTAGCAAAACGTTCAGAAATGGACTTAACTAAAAGACACAATAGACCTAGAGTTGCATTAAGAAGCTGGACCACAAACACACATAAGGGCAGTGTTTACTAAAGGTACTTGAAGCAGCCATAATATTGAAAATTAAACATTGGAGGACTTCTTTACTCACTTGGTGCATGATACTGTAATATTATTTGTGCCATCCATCAGTCATCCTCACAGTCCAAGAGCATTATGACCCCTCTGTATTTTACTCTATATACACAGAGTTCGCTGACTCTTTGTATGTATACATGTGTTTTGTGCAGCAAGAGGCCAAGAAGCAGGCAGGAAGGGTGTGTGTCGAGCAATTTCCTCTCTTGTAGGTTGACTGATCAGACTGAGGCAAGGGTGTGAAGGGTGTGTTCTCATTGGTTTCTGTGGTGGCAGTTGTGATACCAACTATAGTTGTCTGTTCAACAGCATTTCTGTCATGAGAGTTAAAAAAGAAAAAAAACATCTGCACTGCTGTTTGAAAACTGTTACGCCTGCACTCGCCTTCCTGTGGCCCTTGAGAACTTCTTTATGATTGCAGCTCGTCCATGTGACTTGGTTTCCGCTGCCTGCCTCCTGCTTCCGTGAATAGTAAAAAAAAGAGGCATCAGTGGTTCAGCGAGAGCAGTAGAAAGCAGCTGAACGTCACACACGAGGACGTGCTCTGCAACGACGAGTCAACCAGCGATATGGTCAGGGGATCAACCATCGGTGGCTTGGGAAATCTTCACCTAACCACCAGGGTAAGTACATGCATTGTAAACTCATTTATAGTAGAGCTGCATGCACATGAGCACTGAAAGAAGCAAACATGCATGCTTTGTCTGAATTAAGAATATAAATGTATATTATCCTTGAGCAAGACACGTGACAGAAGAAAATGTTTATGTCATTTAGTTTTTACACAGCATTTTCTAACTTAATCTTAACTCAGCATTAAAGACTGTTGAAAGAAATTTGCACAGTTATTCCATATTTATATGATTGATTTGCTTAGAGGTGCATTGGAATGATGTCACTTGAATTATGTATTTTGTATATTCATGCTTGACTGCTAAATTATTAAGATTAATGACACAATATCACATCAATTTAATAATTCAGTTTTGAACTCTAGAGAATTGAAGACTTGAACGCTATATGCTCTGTGTTTGTGCAATATAACTTTGTGTGTTATTTTTATAGATCATGTGGTTTTCTTATAAGTGAGTTTTAAAAAGTCCAAAAAGACACTAAAAGTAGTGTTCTGTGGAATGTCTCTTCTGTGGTTGACACCCAACATTCTAAAGAACCAGAATAATGCTGATGCCTGTATTGAGCAGAATACTGTTCATCACTTTCAGCCATGTGGATTGGGTGGAAGTGTTTATTTAAGTTCTCAAGAACACAGAGACAAAGTTGTCTTAAACTTTTTCTCCTTTTAATTTGCTAAAATTAAAAAGTGTGAAGTTTGAAAACAGTTAAATAAAGAAACTCCATATTCAGTTTGTGTTGCCAACGGTTTGAGCATCTTCCCACACTGTGTAGGCTCATCTATATTTAACAAACATTACATCTAAATGTTGCTGACACGTCACATTCAGTACAGGACCTCCACCATAAGAGTGAAGTGGACGTATCACTCTCAGGTCATCATTAAAGCCTAAGATATGACAGCGAAACAAATTAGTTTAAAGATACAGAGATGTGTTCGCTATGACCCGACCATGAAACCTTGAAAATAAAGAAACTGACTGAAAATCTCATGTGTAAAAACCATCTCCATTTTGACAGAGATGTTGATTTCCCCAAACTATTCATGCACATACGATACCAGATGATACTTTGAAATTACAATACGCAGGTATTATGAAGTTTTAAATAGGTTAAATTAAAGAATCTAATGTAAAAGAATAATCCATCATTCAGAGTCTAATTTCTCTCTTCCTGTGTCTTGTTGTCAACAGTAAAGATGTTAAAATGCCGGCCCACGGACTCACTCCCATCCTGCTCTGCTTGTTACACGTCTCAATTATTCTGAGCCCAGCAACAAGTCATCCACATCTCAGCGAATGTCGGCTGGTAAGAGGTCTCACCTTTACACGATAGAGAACAAAGTTCCTATGTTAGTTCTTAATAAATATGGTTTGGTCTGAAGGCCCAGCAACAAAGAGTTTAAAGTGTAAATGGTTTAAAAGAAATGAACCCAAAGACACCATCTTCACTTTGCTGATTTTTATTTGGATCCACACCAAATTGTAGACACTCATAAATATCGGTCCTTTAAACATATCAGATTTTTTTTCCATTTAATGGGCCCTATATTAAATAAAGTTAAAATGATTTACTGAATACTTCTTTGGGTCATTACCCCTCAACAACATTTCATGAAAATCAGATTCAGAATCGTTCTTGCATAATCCTCCTGAATAAAACACAAACAGACAAATGAAAACATAACCTCCTTGGTGAAGGTAAAAATTGGTGTGTTTAGCACATTTTTTGGATGGTCCCTGTGAATTAACAGCCGAGCTCATGGGAAACTATTTCAGATGATTAAAATTTAGAGAATCAAATATCATGAGGGTAATATGAAATCTCACTAACATTTATGTGAGACTATGAAGTGCTGCCTTGTGCTCTTTGTTCCTGAACCTGATAAAATAATGAATTGACAAGACTGACAAACTTCTTGAGCAATAACAATTCCTTAATGCAAAACATGGTAACTACGTGTGGACTTAACACGTAAAAGGCAGATGCTTGATTAAAAAATAAAATACAGTTGTCGTGCACTGTTCCTGTCGGATTTCTGAAAACATTTTGCTCCCTTAAAAAAATAATACAAACACACTGACTTATGTTTGGATTGCATACTTAAAGCTGGGGTTGGTAATCCTGGAAAAGAAAAAATGCAATGCAGAAAATGCAATTGATACATCCATCCTTCTATCATTGTCCATCTCGTCAAAGGTATACCCCTAAAACACAGGAACGCAGACTGTCTGACAACTGATAGAACCTTACCTTTAATTTTTATACTCTCCTTTTCTCTGCAGATACAAAGAACGGCTCTCTGCAACGATGCCAAACTCAGTTATGTGCCTTCAGGATTACCACGCAACATAGAGGAACTTCAACTCAACTACAATCACATACAAACACTACAGGGCGACTCTCTGCTCCGTTACCCTTCACTAACTAGTCTGAGCTTAGCTTGTAACAGTTTGGAGAAATTAGAATCAAACACTTTTCAAGACTTAAGCTTGTTAAAAAGCCTCAATTTGGCAAATAACAACCTGCATATTGGTTACCCAGAAACCAGCCAGGCATTAAAGAAGCTACCTGGTCTCAAAGTTTTGGATCTTTCAGAGAACAAACTTGACGATGAGATGGCAGCCACTCTTCTCCAAAATCTGACATCCTTAGAGTACCTCAATCTTTCCGGAAACCTCTTGCGGAGATTGGACGAGACTTCATTCAGGGACCTTAACAAGCTAAAAGACCTCAACCTGCAGAGGAACATCATATTCGAGATTGATGATGCCTTCGGCAGCAATCCCAATCTCCAGCGGCTCAACTTGGCATATAACAATCTGCCTTGTCTAACAGACTTCCACATGACCCAACTAGTGGTCCTCAATGCCAGCCACAACTTCATTGACTGGTTCATCTCCAGACAAGACCTAAATGACACTTTCCAGATAGAGACACTTGATCTATCAGATAACAAACTGCTATTCTTTCCTTTCTTGCCCAGCCATAGTCACTTACGCAACCTTTACCTGTCCCACAACAGCCTTAGGTTCTACGAAAACCTGGCAGACAATGCCAAGTTCCCAAACTCAACCACAACTGTTGAGTTCTACAACCTGAGGAGGTATGCAGGCAATGTGACTGTGGAGTTGTGGGATGACGGTCTTCATGGTAATGTCTCTTCTCTAGAGATTTTGGATCTAAGAGGAAACCAGGTGGAGTATTTCCCCCATGGATTCATCCAGAAAATGCCTGTTCTGTCAAGACTTCGATTGTGCGACAACTGTCTGGAATCCTTAAATCTAACTTCTGAACAGTTCTCTGGCAGCTTGTACGAGCTGGACATCAGCAACAACAGGCTGAACCAGGTTGTAGCAGATGAAGGGACGCTGACAGTTCTTGGCAATCTGACGTACTTTAACCTGAGCCTGAATGATCTTGAGTGGTTACCCTCAAGATTGTTCGCCTCACTGACAAGCCTCAGGTCGGTGGATCTCAGCTACAACAACATTGACATTTGTCTCTCTGAGGAAGCTGAGATCAGTACAGACCCTGTCTCAGATTGTGTGGATTGGAGAAATGTTGTGTCCCTTGGGCAGCTTTACCTCAAAGGATGCAACCTTAAATTAATTCCATCGTCTGCATTTGCAGGGTTGTCGCTAACACACCTGGAACTGTCCGATAACCCTGGACTTGTCCTACAATCAATACAATGCCTCAGCAGAACTTTGCAGCATCTAGGTTTGGGAAACACACACATACAAGACTTTGACTTCTCCCATTTTAAACATCTGACGTTTTTAAACATTTCAAAGAACTCTCTCGCACACCTTTCCCATTCACTGTTAAATCTTGATCTGAAAGTGCTCGACTTGAGGGACAACAGACTGTCCACTATCCCCCAAGGTCTGGCTAATGCATTAGCTCCAAACCTTCAGATTGTTTTCCTCACAGGAAATCCTTTCAACTGCTGCCAAACAGAATGGTTCAGGACCTTTGAATCAAACACAATCAAAATGGTTGGACTATCAGACATCGAATGTGAAGATCCCTTTGAAATGCAAAAACTGCAGCACTTAGAGTTATCTGTGTGTTTTAACGAAGGTGGGGAATCTATATTCTGGTACATTCTGCTCTTTGTATCCATATGTCTTTCATTTTTTGGCATTTCAGTTGTTGCTCTTCTCACGTTCAAGCCCAAAATGCTGAAACAATCTATTAAAAAGAGGTGTCTGAAGTCTACATCCTACTGAAAACCTAAAATAAAACTGTAATCTCAACAGCATATTACTGAGAAATGTTGACTGAATGTATTTTGGTAATGAATTGAATTATTTGTAAAGTGTCTGCATTAATGAAGGAGTAATTGCAAAGAGTATGTAAATAACATTGTGTTGAGTTTTTTTCCCATTGCTTTGTTTTGTTCATTGAAGTGTGGTCCTATAATCCTGACATCCTTATGTCAAACTGTGGCTGCGTTCTTGTGGGTACATGCGTGTGCTTGTGTGAGTGCATAAGCTTGAGTTTGGGTGTATGTGTGTCAACATATGCAGAAGTAATGTGATGCAATCTGTTGCTATAAGCAGCAGAGGAAACATGAAATTTCCTGTTTTGCTAAGATGTGCAGCAACTGCCCAGTTCTGTATCTCGAGGAGGAGGGGACTGAGGTTTTCCTGCTGGTGGCACTCAGATAAAACATGAAGTTCCAGGGTGTCATTTCTCCTGAGTAGATGGATCCATATTTTGATGTTTGTTAGTATATTCTGCTGTACCCTTGTCAGAAAACACAATGACTGGCCACTAAGTTGTAACAAATAAGTCCATAGACCACATGAGCATTAACAGGGGCAGCATTAGCCATGTGTCAGACACAGGGCAAAGACAATGCATGCCTCTCCCTTTGTGTTCATGTGTGCAGTTGCTCAAGAGCAGGAGTAGATCAGCATGTCGCTGTAGCAGAACACCGGAGGCCTAACCAGAATGTAACCAGAATACCGCTGTGGTGATGCTCAGGGTCATGGTGGTTGGAGCTTTAAAAAAAGAGAAAGCCTCAAATTTTTACATGTTTTTTACAAAACAACATTACTGCTCAGCAGAGGGGGCAAAAGCACTCACATTCTTTACTTAAGTAAAAGTACAGATACAGAAACTTTGGTAAAAGTAGAAGTACTGACTAACTCCTTTATCAAGAAAGAAAGTAAGAAAGTGCAGGCTCTGAAATAAAAAAATGAAAAAAATATAAATTGATCTTTAACTTCAATTATGCACGATGCCTGTTTTGATAACTCTGCAAAATGAAAAACGTTGTAGGAAAACAAAATAAGTTGATAGTTTTCCTCTTTTGTTTACAACCTGCACAGAGTTGGTACAGAGAAAACAAGTCACTGCACATAATTTAGTTTTGCAGCCTAATTTCAGACAGAATAATACAGACTGAGCTGAACTGAGGTCCTGCATGTGCACCTGGATCATTTTTTAAAGGGAATAAATGGATGGGGAATGTACTGGCGCTGATTAAGTCCCTGCCCTTTGTACACACCTCCCGTCGCTACTACTGATTACGTCTTTCACGTCATGTCTTCATCCATGGAGGCTGAAACAATTAACAAGCCAGTTTTGGCTTGTAAGGAGTAGAAAGTACAGATATTTGTGTTCAAATGTAGGAAGTAAAAGTAAAAAGTCATCAGAACAATAAAAACTTAAGTAAAGTACCTGGAAAATCTACTCCAGTCCCACCTCTGCCACTCAGTCAAAGAGCCAAAATAGATCGGAGTGAGTCTTAGTTGTTATTGTGCAGGGCAGCAATGATTAAGCTTTATCATGCAAATAAGTTCAAATAAGAGAAACACGGTCAACTCGGGACTTTTCATTTTCACCATTCACTTACTAATCAATGTGAACCATGGCTTTGTGCACATCTTCTTAATTCATCATGAATCTTGAAAAAGAAAAGATTCATACTGCTGATCTGATAAAACGCATCACGAGCCTTTTCACAGTTGAAGAGCTGCAGTCAAGAAAACATCCTTTGCGGAAGGTACTTTGACTCTGGTGACAAACTGTTGACCAAGAGGAATTTTATTTGATTACTCAACTGTATTAGGTCAGGAGTCAGAGCAGAGATATATGAAATATGTCAGAGAGCAACACTTGCACACACAGCGGCAAGACTTCCATAAGAACTTTGTTGCTAACACGACGTGAGAACGCACTGGATGCAATTACAGGGGACACAGGTGACAACATGCTTACTACATATGAATTACAGAACCACACTTGTGAGTCATTATATGGCTCACACAGTGTTGTTGCTGATCTGTCTTTGTAACACAGCATACATAATAAAGATACTCTCCACCAGCAGTTCAGTGTTTATTCCTTATCTTTTAAGTAGTGGTCACAGTTTCTCAACCATCAGTGCACATGTAAGGGAAGTGAAATTTGGCCTCAAGTGGTCAAATGAGATTCATGTGTGAATATGTGTGAGCTGTGCATATTTAGTATGTGTGGATATTACCACATTATAACAGAAAGTGTCAGGGTCACATGCAGTGGTGGGATGCAATCAAGTACAATAACTTTGTTACTGTACTTGAGTACATTTTTCATGTATCTGTACTTTAACTAGATTTATTTTCACATACCTTTCATGTTTAAACTATTATATATGTATATATTACTGGTACTAATCAATAAAGAGAGGGGAACTGATCTACTGATCCGATCAGAGCAGGCAGGTCACATTAGACCTCGCCTCCTGCAACGACAACATCATTAGTGAAGAAAAAACTGGAATGGATCCAGAACAGACGACAGATGACATTTAAACAAACTCAGTGTTTTTCTGCTATTTTTGAACCTCGCTCATTCTTCTCTCGTCGCTCTCTATGAGAGTTTCCTTGGAGTGTAACAGTCTGTTTTTAGACAGCTGAAGAGACACCACAGAATAGAAACCCTGTTCATCAAGTGAACTTAGAGCGAGTCAGATGCCACACAAGCGTTCTCTATTCTCTTGTGCAACATGGGAAAGAAAATAAGGACGGTGTAACGAGGACAGTTTTATTTCTCAGACATGCTGTCACTCATCTGATGAATTTGTGAATGAATTACTTTATCTGAGTGGGTGGGGTTTTTTGGAGTGATAAAGTGTCGGGACACTGTTCAGCTGTGGTTTCATGACTACAAACCTGTTTGGCTGCTAAGGTCAAAGGTTATCTCTGAATATATCTGACGTGTGCTGGAAAATAAAAAACTTCTCAGCGAGTTTTGCAAAACTCCACTTCCTCTTAACCCTTCCTGCTCTTATGACAGGCTGAGTCACTGGACTTCCTGATTAGGCAGGAAGCACTTCATAGCAGTTGTTCATCTTCTAGATTAAAGTTGCTGCTGGAATCTTGCTGTGGTCAGAGAGGAGCCCCCTCAACATGTTGGCTCAAGTAAAGCCGATACTACAGGATCTACAGTGCAGTATCTACTTAAATAAAGACATGATCAAAACGAGTCAGTCCAGAGTAACACCAGGGCAAATTAAAAAACAACAACACACACACTGCAGAAACAGCTTTGAAATGAGTTCAGAATTATCAGTGAAGACCAGTGTGAAGTCCACAATCAAAAGAATCTTTAATGTTTTCTTCAGAAAAAGAATCTTTCTCTTCCAGGCATTATTCTGTCCATAGCATTTGCTGATATCGTCTTTGTATTACACAATTGGGATGTTTGACCTGGAGCATGGTGCTGCTTGTGTTTACTGATGTCTCTCCTTGTCTCATTTGTTTCCACACACGAAATCCATTTTGTGTCATGAGGTAAATACTGCAAATTTGTTGCAGATCTTTAGCTCATTATTGAGATAAGACATATGCAAACTACCTATATACAAATTTACTTTTCATAATTTTGTAGAGCAACATTGGACTATTTAGGTCCAAATAGTTATTGCATAACTAAAGCGTAGCCATGTTTTGTATGTCATTTGTCTGTTGTGTAATTAACACTGTCATTTTTCCACGGAGCTGTGTCGGCCATGTCAGTCATACGTGAGACATTAGCAGGTGTCACCGTCATTTTTCATTCTCAGTCTCAAGTGATCCTGCCAATTCACACACTGGTTCAAATGAGTCCAATAGTATGTAGAACCAGGTGCACGTCACAGAACAGACACACTGATCGTGTTGCCTGTTCTGCCCCCCAGTGGTTCAGACCATGAACACAAAGGCTCAATGTGAAGCACTGAAAATTAACGGACATTCACAATAAAAAATGAAATCAATCATTTAAGNAAAAAGAGGCGACGTGAAAGAACATGGTGAGATGGAAAATGTGAGGAGCGGACCGGGGCTGAGCCTGCGGTTTCACCAGCATAACTGTCCTATTGTCTGACTCTACCAGAGGCTGAGTGCTGCACACACACACACACACACACACACACACACACTCTGCTGTGTTCTTGTCATGACTGTCATCAAACGCTGAGTAAATTCTAAGGCCCATTTGTTTGTGTGTAAGACATTAACATAGAGTTAGACTGAACAGAGAGGACACAATGAGGAAAAACATATAGAAGCAGCAGCTGCAGAAGCACCATGCTAACACTACTGATATGATTTACACATGGGCCGTGCACGGGGCATGTTGTGAACTCTGCACACGTGTGATTCTCCTTCGCTGCCAGTTTAAACCCACCGACCTTTAGCATGACATGCAGCCACCGACTGTATTCGGAGGAGAAAGGTGCTGAATCAGTGGGAAGTCAGTAAAAAAAATGTTGTTCAAATGCACTTGCAGGAACTTTTAAGCATTTCGGTTTTATGCAACTTTATTATTTATTATTTGTATCCACTTAATTTTAGATACAAATATGATACTTAACATACAATAATCATGTTGGTGATCACAAGCACTTTCAAGTGTTTTTATTTTTTATTTTGTTGTTTGTTTCTTTGTTTCTTTGTTTCTGAAAGTGAGGCATGTTTCTAAAATATGTATCTGTAGCTCTAAGTAACTCCTGTTGAGTTGAACACACTTATTAACATCAATTTGGTCAAAGGCATTTACTGAATAAATGAAAATATACTTTTTAATACTCCAATTTTAACTTGACAGTTACAGTTGCTAGTTTCAAACAATTTTATTTTTTATTCACGATGTTTTGCCAAAACCACAGATGTGACACATGTGAACTTTACCTCATAAATGTTGCACTTTATTCTTTCAAAAGAAAAACATCTGTTAATGTAATCCAGATAGTTAATAATATATATAAAAAATTATTTCCAACGACAACATTACAATCCTACGTCCAAGTTACAGTGTCAGCACATTTAAAATCATCCATGTTGACCGTGGTGCTTAACAGAAGCCTCATTGTTTTAATGGTAGAGAAAACCCTGGAACATTCAGCTCAGTCCTGCAGCATCATAATGTCAAATAAAAATCTAATTATTGACTTTTCTGCATCAAAACATCAGGCTCTATTTTTACGATCTAAAGCGCTTGTGTCTTACAAGTGCGTTCAATTTGTGTCAGAATCCACTTTGGAATAGATGGCACTGCGCCAGTCGTGTGATTTAAAGGGGTTGTACTTAGTCTCCTTTTAAATCATGGGTGTGTTTTTGGCCACAGCATGGAATAATCCAATCAGTGCCACGTCTCCCATTCCCTTTAATAGTGAAGCTGAATTTCCCAGGTAAAATGAGAGCAGGTTTCACGAACATTTGGAACATCTGTCTGTGGAACAGGCACAAGGGCACGTCTGTCATGCACCCACCTGTGAAGGGACTTTTACTATCTTGCGCCAATAAAAGACTGAGATGCTGATTTCAGATCAGGACTTTTTGGTCAAAAGCACAATTCGCTTTCCACTGCCTCGATATAGTGATGCACCAAAAGTGTCCGTCTCTGATGGTTTAGTTGAGAAATGGATCAATTATTTATATAGATTTTTTATAAAGCATGTTTCGTACACAGAGCTAGATTCAAGGTGCTGTACGGGGACACTAACAACAACAAAGCTGCAAAATTAAAATCAGCACAGTTTAAAAAAAAACTTTTAAAGCTAAATAAAAGATCAAAACGAGTAGAATAAAAGAGGTCAACTGATTACAAGAAAAAACACACAAAAC